TGAGCTCTACTTTTTTTTTTTCTATCCTTTTTACCTTAAAACCAGTGACCCCTAGCAAGGGAAAACCTATATTCCTGTCAAAAGGGGCAATTGCTGAGAAGCCCATGTTACAACGTTGTCTTTTCTCTCCCTCCAGAGGAAGCTGTGTGAATGCAAGGAAAAGGGAGAAGCTAAAGGAAGTAGATTTGGGGTGGGCACAGGGCGAGTGGGTAGAATTTGGTCTGATTTATTTGACTAAAGAGCTTTGTTGTAGGTACCTCTACAGATTCTCCCATTAGCAAAGTGTTACATTAGATGCCAGTTACCCTGAGGTAGATGCCATCCCTACTAGCTAGCTGATTTCAGTTAAGTACATGTTGCCCTTAACTGTGTGTTTTAACAAACAAAAGAACAACCCACATATAGGCTGGTTTATTGTGGTAGTATTTCTGCTCTAATCAGTTGGGTTGGCTGTTCTGCATATTGAATCATGGCTGCTGCCCGTGCAGTCATGTGTAAGTCCACGAGGCTGATATTTTTTTCCTTCCCTTTTCATCTAGAATCTCCAGGGTTACGATGCAAAATCTGACATTTACAGCGTAGGGATAACAGCCTGTGAGCTGGCAAATGGACACGTACCATTTAAAGACATGCCTTCTACTCAGGTAAGGTTTAAAAGCTGTTCCTTTCTCATCCTTCATCCTGGCATGTGAAAAGGCTTTGCTGCACTGGGATGTGGAGATGGGACGGTGCTGTGCCTACCTGCATGGGAGGTCTTAACTATTTAGCCTTACTGTGTGTGATGTTGCTTATGCCCTTTCTCTCCCAGATGCTCTTGGAAAAGCTGAATGGAACTGTTCCCTGCCTGCTAGACACCACCACAATTCCAGCTGATGAGCTGACTATGAAGACCTCCCGTTCAAGCGCTAACTACGGGATGGGTGAGAGCATGGCTATTAGCAATGTGAGAGCAGCCAACGGAGAGCCAACCCTGCACCCTTATCTTCGGACCTTCTCCACCTACTTCCATAACTTTGTAGAGCAGTGCCTCCAGCGGAACCCCGATTTCAGGTAAAGCCAGGTGAAAGCTGCTTTTCACAGACCTGCGCTGTTCTAGGGCAGATTAAACCAAGAGCCAGCAGAGGTTATTCAAAGTTTTCTTTTCAAAAGCATGATGGAGTGAGGATGTACTCCATACATTGAGAAGAGCAGTCCAAGTACGTAAAACGAGAGCAGTGTTAACACTTTGAGCACTTTCTGTAAAAGAGCCTGAAGAATTACTTTGCAGCCTTCTTTGGGGGTAGAGCAGAGCTGTGTGTCAGGAAAATAAACTGAACAGCTTGAATTTCTGGTCCCTGTGAGACTGTGTTTACCCAGTTTCCATCACTCTGAATGCCTGCTGTTCAGCCCACCGAGAATAATGATGGGAAGTGATCAAGAACTTATTTTTCTCTGTAGTGAGCGTAAGGTCATCTTTAGCCATGACAAACTTCTCTAGCATGCCACACTGTTCAGAAACTTTCCCTTGACCAAGTGTTGGGGTGTGCAAGTAGGTGATTTGCACAGAAGGTTGAACTGCTTGTGTAAAACATTGTGTGCCATTAATAAACAGTGCTACCAGTTACAAAAGGGAGATAATCCTATAGCTGAGAAATGAGAGAGGCAGGAAAGACCCTGGTCTCTTCTTTCTTCCACTGCTACTACCTGACTTTAAACACTGATGCATTTTCTTGTGTGCTTACTTTATTCTAACTCCTTTCTACAGGCCAAGCGCAGGCACCCTGCTTAATCATCCCTTTTTCAAGCAGGTGAGGAACTCATTTAATCTGCCGATAAAGAACAGCGACTTTTTTGTAGTTGTCTTGCTGTGTCACTGAACCTGAGAGTGGGAATGTCGAGTTGCTGAATTTTCTGTGATCTGAAAGGATTAAGCTAGTTTGGTGACCAATTATAGTGCAGCTTGGTGATCCTCATTATCCTTGGAGGTGGATGGGTTGTTCTCAGTGCATCTCTTCCATAGCTAGATGATGTAAATCTGCCTGTCCTGCATGCCAGAAGTTTTTCACCCACAGACTATTGAGTACTGGGGCAAGGCAGCCTTAAACTGGTCCTCGAGGCCAAACTGCGGCGACCTGTGCGTTGCTTACAGCTACGTGGCAGGTTGGTGAGCTCCAGCCCTGGCATGGGAAGAGGCAGAGGCTCTCCTGCTCCCGAAATTTCTCTGGCTTGCTCTGAGCTGAGGGTCAGGGTGGTGCTTCACTGAGGGGAGCATCAGCACCATAGCACACAAGTGCTGCTGAAAAGACTGCATGCAAAGCACGTTCTTGTTACCAAGATGCAGAGTGAAAACCCTGCACGTGCCGGTGCAGGCGGGAGGATAATACTGTGCTCTTACTTTCTGCCTATAACCACACGTTGCTGCTACTCAACAGTGATGCACAAATGTGGGGAAGCATTTCAGCAACCGAGTTCTCTCCTTTCTGTGCAGATCAAACGCCGCGCTTCGGAAGCACTCCCTGAACTTCTGCGCCCAGTCACCCCGATCACCAATTTTGAAGGAACACGGCCCCAGGATCCCAGTGGCATTTTTGGGCTGGTGTCAAACCTGGAGCAGCTGGATGTGGATGACTGGGAATTTTAGAAAAACAGGGACTATACCTGGTTCTGGAGGAGCTTTCTGGACATTGTAATTTATTGGTCCTGTTCATAAAAGATGATGAATGTTACACATAGAAGAGTTTACAGATCCTTGGGGAGGAACTTCAAATGCCCATTCACTTAGGAAGTCGCCTGGAAACAAATGGACAGACCTGAGCTGGAAAAAGATCAACCCCAAGGAACTGTGGAGTATTCCAGGTGGTGCAGTGCCCAGAGCCCCAGTTCTGGCAGCTCAGCACTGGTAGATCACTCAGGCAAGTTGAGTGAGTCTGTTTAGTTATGGTCTCTATTTATGTGTTTCTAAAAATCACTGGCTTCCTCATATCACAGTTGAAGGCTGTGTGTCCCTACCCTCTTTGGTTCTTTCTCTTTTAAGGGTGCCTTAGAGTTAAGGGGAGGCAGGCAGCTCTTAGTTTTGGGCATTCTCTTAGAGCTAGTCAGGTGACTGCTACGGTGCTGTCATGGTAAGTTTTGAGGGTGGGGAAAAAAGGGATTATGTTCTTAAATTTAGGCACTGCTTTGTGATGGATAATGGGAGATCAAAGACAACCCAATTCCATTTCAGGCACACTGGCTGCATCGGACATTCCTCTGCAGCACTGGATTCTGTTCTTCCAGTTCTGGAGAGAGCTTTTGGAGAGGCTCCTCTCGGTTGATGCTGAGCCCACTGAGCCCCAGGTCCAACGGGGCATTCCAGCTTCTCTTCCTACAGCTGCCCGGCTCACCAGAGCAAGTGCAATGTACCAGCTCTTCATCTCCCCAGCACATCCAGCTGAGCCTCCTGTTAGCTGGGCTGGTTTCACAGCATTAACGTTCCTACCAGCTTGTTCTCGGTGACTTACCCTGGCACAGAGGAAAAGCAAGCTGACTTTCATGCTAAATCCTCTCGCTCATGAATCCTCTTTGAACATCACGTACAGAATTGATCTTAAAGCCTTCCACTACCACCGCTGTTTTGCCTTCCCTGACTGAATGACAGGTAGAAGCTTGCTTCTCATGTGGCTCCTCTTGGTCCATGGCTGTGTGACTGCTGTGGCAGCTCTCCCCCATTTGTTTTTTGGGGTATATTTTTTGTTGAGGTATTTGTTTTTTGAGGTGTATTTAAGGCTTTCAGTTTGACCTTTCCAAGGGCCGTGGGTGCTGGATGTCTTTCTGCTCTTCAGTGAAGCACTGAGAAGCCAGTGCTGTAGATGTGCTTGATGGGAGTAGTGGTGCTGGCAACAGGTCCTCCTTGTGTTTATAAACTGTACTTGAACCCAGATAAAGTTTGTTACTCTAGTTTTTTGCCAAAACAAATAAAATATTTCTGAAGTTTTTTTCTAAGTTTGCTCTTTCTGGAAGTTGAGATGGAGTGGATCACAAATGATGATGGAGGCTGGCTGTGCACACTTACTCTCATTTCCTTAACTTAAGCAGTAACCACTGTTGCAACTGCCCTCATGTTTCAAAAACTTACCTTTCAACTAAAGCAAGAAGCTGCCAACAACTGCTCTCTCTTTCTGCTCTCCCAGAGCAAGGGTGTTTGTAAGGACAGGCTACATATTATAGTAAGTAGATCTTAATTTCCTAGCTTGTCATGAAGTTCGTGGCTTGTGAAAGTCTTTGTCCCTCTCCCACAAGCCTGGGCCAGGACTGACGCGCTGGTACTTGGAGCAAGAAAAAAGCACAGTACAGGTCATGGCATCAACCCCTCAGGCCGAATTAGTGACATGTTGCAGCTGATGTGTTTGGAGATGGTTTCCTCAGAGGAGAGGGATGATTTGAGGGCATTGCCCACTGAAGTTCTAAGCCTCTCTTGAATCCTCCTAGGAACCAAGAGCCAGGCAGAAAAGACAGGAGGAAAGACACCAAGCTATAATAAATCACAGGTAACTGCAGCACTCCAGCCTGCTTTCCCCTGAGTTAGCATTCTTGGGGTGAAAGATGAATTTAACACAAGCTATTATTTCTCATCCCTTTCCATACTTTCAGCTTGCTACACACTCAAAGATTAAATTAACTTAAGAGATAGTTTTATGCTTACACAGCAGCAGGAAGCAAGCAGGATCAGTCCAGTTAGGAGTGAAACAGCAGCATCTTGGTCAAAAAAAAAGACATTATGAAGTAACTGACTGCACAGCCTTCAACACCTCCTTCCCCAGGTGCACTGCTGCACTCAGAGGCAATGGCCGGGGTCCTGCCCGCAGCATGGTGGTAGCAGACAGCCCTACTCAGCCACAACTCCTGAGTCTGACCTTACCTGTTCTGTCTTGTGCCTTCACAGAGCAGCAAACCAGGAGTCTGGCACCAGTCAGGACTGTTTTAGCAGCTGCTGGTTGGATATACACACACTGGCTACAGCTGCTGGCCCCAAGGCAACTGCTGTGAGCGGTTTGGGTTTTTTTTTTCCCCCCATGAAAGCTTTATTCAGCTAGATACAAAACAGGGTGCTCTGCTATTGCGGATCCTCTCTATGGTCTGAATGTTGCTGCTCTTCCTCCTCCTCTTCCTCTCCTTTGTGTTTTTCCAATTTTGCCATGAGCTCTGAAAAACAGGAGGTGGCAGGATGAGACTCCAGGCGCAGGTGCCCAGGTCCTGTAAACACTATTTCCGCAAGAACCAGAAATCACTTGCCCAAACAAAGGCTCAGCTAGGAGCTACCACTGTTGGTAACGTTTGATGCCCTGGACTCAGGAGTTGTAAAATCCATCAGTGCGTGACTGACCTGCCAACTGGAGCATCAGACAAGCTGCTGCCTCTGCTCCTGCGGCACATTGCCCCTACCCTCACCAGAAGTCCCCGAGAAGAAACCCCAGGAGCGGGTGCCTTTGCTGCTCCAGACGTTCCCACCAAAAGCCCTCTCCCACAGGCGCCCGTTACCTTTTGCTGGGTTGAAGACTCCGTTGGTTTGCTTGTCACAGACGTAGCAGCGCTGGGATTTGCGATAGTGTTGGAGGGCACAACTCTCACAGAAGTAGTGCCTACACCTGTATGGGGACACAGATGCCACTACAAGTTACTAGATACAATAGCTGTGTCCAGGAGTTAGCAATTACTGACTGCTGGTCCCTGGGGAATGCAAAAGTGAGCTGCATGCAAAGCTTCCTCTGCATCTTGGTCCCCACGAAAGGTGTTTCGGTATTGCTTCGCTGATGCGGAGTGATGGCAAGGAGCCACCAGTGAGCTCTTCCAGACACCGGGTACCCAGCAAGACAGCCAGCAGTGTGGGAGAGGGCTGGCAGTGTCTGATGGCCCTGCCACCCCCTGCAGCCTACTCCTCAACCTCTTGGCTTCCCCAGACTTCTGTTTCACACAATGCAGAGTGCTATTCAGTGTCCAGGAGGAAAGAAGGCATGAAAACAAAATCTCAAGATTAAGGGGAAAGATGATGTAAATCAGGCACCATCTGTGGAAAGCTAAATGCTTGGACAACAAAGGCTTGAGACCCCTTCCAAGAAGATGCTCCAGATGCAGTTAGGAAACTCCCTAGTTATCAGTGGCTTTCCCACCCACCAGAAAGCCGCGGCAGACACCAAGCAGGTTCCACCCACCAGCCTCCGGGCAGTGTTTGTATTTGGCTTGACACAGAATGACTAGTGGACTCAATGGACCGCAGACACTTGATTCCTCATGCTAAAACAACCACTTACTTGGTGACCACGGGGTTCTTGAAGGAACTTCTGCAGATGAAGCATTTGAAAGGCATATCCTCCTCATCACTGCTCACCTCGTAGTTTTCCTCATCTGCAGAAGAGAAAGGTAACCAGGCTGGAGCAAGAGCAGAGACAGCCATACCAGCCCATGCGTGGGGCATGAAACATTAAATATGGAGAGAACACAGCAGGTGGGATTAAATCTCTGCTGGAAACAATAGAGCTCTGGCATCTGGGTGTTGCTGATGTCAGTAACACACATGGGACTGAGATATAATTAGGTCTAATGAGCCGGCATGCTTGTTGCTCATCTCACAAGAGCAAATGCTTTTCTACCTCGCCCACTCGCTGCTATAAAGAGACATATCCTCCCCCCCCCAGTTTTTAGATTTTCTTCCAAACCAGCTGCCACCAAACTCTGGCACCAACTGAACAGAGAACACCCTCTTCCCTCCAACTGCACAGTGGTTCATGAGCAACACTCGTGAGTCCTGGGCTGCAGCTACAGACACCATGAGTGAGAAATAGTGATGTGACATAGCATGAAAGAATCCCACCACCTCCTGGGCACCTGGGGGCAGGAGATGGTCGCATCTCCACACAGCTCGCTGCAGGGACCCATACAATGGCAGTGCTCTCTTACAGAGAGCCAGAGGAAATGATTCTCTCTCTGATGGCAGTCAGCAGTTATCTGAAAGCAGCAGATTTGCTCAGCACTGTCAGAGGTTACTGGCCCTAAGGTTATCCTGCAGCAGGGAGTTCCACAGCTTTGGAATAAAGTCCTTTCTGTCTAATATTAATTCAACCCATGGCCCATGCAGTTTGAGCAGCAAAGGACCCTTTTCATTCTTAGGGATCCAATGTCCCTAAGTCACATCCGCTATAGGGCATGACAAAAGGGGTGGTGCCGTACCATTGACTCCGTACCGGCCTTCATCCAGTTCCCGTTCGATCTGCCAGCCGTGTTTGTAGTCCGAGCGGTCGTGGAGGAATTTGCAGCTGTCTGAACAGCACAAAGAAAGAGGAATTAACAGCAAGGCTGTGCGGGGTGCAGTGTTAGCAGGACACCTCATCCAGGGGCAGCCTGAGCTCTGCCCAGCCGAAGGTAAAGCCTGATTGCTTCCCCGCCTGCGCCTGGAGCAGGCACAGGATCCCTCTCAGGGTTGACAGGCCGCGAGGATCGTGCTCTGTGCGCCAGAGCAATAGTTCCAGCATTTACACACGTGGGAGTGGGATAAGGAACAGGAAACCCCATCCCTCACATGGCCTCAGCCATACCTGTGGGAATGCGGGTCACTGGAACATCCCGGGGTCCCTCCCAGGACTCCTCTAACCACTGAATAGAGGCCATCGGCTTTCAGAAGGGCCAAGGGACAAGAACACTACATAAAACAACACTGCAACAGCATCACACACCAGCTCTGCAAACAAACGCCTGTAAATCAGTAAGTGCACATCTTAGTGCTACAAGCATGGGATGGTCACAAGCTGGACTGGATCCCTTTGCAGATCTGGCACAGCACGTGTTCAGCTGCAGGCAAGATCCACTCACCTCCAAAGCCACAGAACCCAGTTTCTTTGTAGTCCTTGCAGATGTCGGGCTGGTAGTCCCACCGCACCGTGGCCCGCAAGTGTTCCGGAGCACGGATGGGTCCTTTTCTGAAAGGGTGGAAGAAGGCTCAGGCCAGCTGTGCAGCTGCAGTAGAGAAGGCCCCTGGGGGCCTGGTCAGAACCAGACACCGGGCTCGTTAGACAGAAAGAAGTTCAAGCCCCAAACGGTGCCTTTGGGGGTGGTGCCTGAGCTCCTCCATGGTCCCAGTCCTCTGAGGCTCATCCCAACCTACCTGACCATTCCTGAAGAGGCATTTCCCATTGATGTGTCCTTGGGCTTCACATACTTCTGGTAATTGTTAATACCACGGTAAATTTTATCATCTTCCTTTCCTCTCAGCTCCTAGGAAAGGAAAAAGAAAGATGATTAAGGATCAGGAAAGCTTCATGATTAGCTGTCACCACTCTGACACCAGTCTCCCTTCCCAGACTTGCTTTCCTTAATACCAAGATGCTAATAAAGCCAGAAAGTTCCTCTATTTGCAAGAGTTACGCTCTTGGCTTCTCAAATGTCCAGGGAGAGGCTCCAACTCCTCTTGATGTGCAGAAGGGGATAAGTAAAGCACACATACTCCCACTGCAGAGCACTAGCTCTTACAGAGCAAGGCTGACTCACCTCCTGGATTTTCTGGCTGCGCTCAAAGATGGCCTGGGCATCTTTCTCCTTCTCCGTGTCCAGTTCATACACTGCTGTGGCTCCCATGTCTTCTGGGCCAACTGGTTTCTGAAAAGCAACATGAACTTGTGACAACAGTGAAGAGAAAAGCCGTACAAGACAGCTCCTTCGCTACCTGGAGGGTTGGTCACAGAGCAAGTACTGGACGTGGCCTGCTTTACCTTCCACCAGTTTCTGCCTTCCCTTTAGCACCTGCCAGGGAGAATCGCCCATGGGCCAGATCCAGCCTAGTGCTTGCAGAGGCCAGAGTGCTAATTACCCACTGCTCCCAAATTGAACCTGCAGAGTCAGGAAACACTTGTCCTTCCTGTACTCCTTCAGGCTCAGCCTCAGCTGGAAGCTAAGCTCTGGTCTCCCATGTCCAACACTTCAGTCACGAGACCATCCCGCCGACGCTCAGGATGTTACATCTGAACTTTTAACCCAGCTGTGGGTGGCTCACATTCAATTTTAATACTGTGATCTGATTTAGATTCCTCTCTAATGGACTGAACAGACACCTATTCCTAGGTTTTATCAGATCTTCAGGAACAGCTGCACAGAAACCGAAGAATAATTACAGGGAGCCTCAACTAAAACCAAATCCAACTTAGGTGCCAAAAGCTTCTGGAGCCCCAAAGCTGTCATCTCCTCCTGTTCCTTCCCATTTTCCTACGGCAAGCTGGGCTAACACCGCACTGCCCACCTTGGCAGCAGCCAAAGCAGTGAATAATTACAGCATGAGGTTATAGCCATATTAATCTGTAATGCGACAAGGAGACCTCGGTCTGACCCTGCAGCTTCGACTGGGGTCAGTTAGGCATTATTCCCATATTACACAGAAAGATGGAGGCACAGACAAGAAGGAAATAGGTCCAAAAAGAAACATATGTTGATACCAGCTTTTAATCCTACTTACAGTATGAGCCCAGGCTCATACTAATGGGCAAAATTTCACTGGACCAAGAGGAGACATAAGAGAAAAATCCAGTGAGAACAATTTGAGCTGTGCCCAAACGTTCCCAGCTTATTTCTCTCCGCTCCAGATGTTCACAGGACACCCCACCCATCAATCCCAAGGAAACAGTGACCTCTCTCTGTAGCTCTTAGTCCATCGCTAGTCGCAAGGATAAAGCTGGGAGTACCTTCTAAGTCACCTGGAAGTCTTTGTGAAGGAAGATGGTCTAAAACTGAAAACATGAACTCAACAGTAGGGCAAACTCGATTCAAGTGCTCCCTCTCCTGAAAATGTTGTGCAATGTTAGGCAAGTCCAGTGGCATCCTGGGGTTTTAATTCCTAACTCTAAGAGGGAAAGGCCAACTTGCAGTGTCCTCCTGAAGATGCAGGGGGTATGAGGAGAATAAATCTAGCATAAGGTGCTTATCTATTAAGAGGGAAAGGACAGGGACATGCATCTATAGATAAAAAAGAAGGAACGGCTGATCCCACATTCGCAGAGACAAATTCTCTCCATCAAGTGTGGGATCTGCCAGTCCCACCTGGCCTCCCACCCCAGAACCACATTCTTGCCCAGTCCTTACCGCCGACCTTGTCGATTTGTAAGTGACTCCGATCTCCTTTGATGGATCCTCATCGTCACTGCTGCTCAGCGCGTACGCGGGCCTCTCCTTTGTGCATCTCCTGGTCTGAGGGGCAAGAAGACAGCAGGTAGGAAAGACGGAAGGCTCCAACATCGTGCATAGCTTGAACTTAGCAGGCCACTGCGGATGCACCTCTGATGGAGCAGTGCCCTGCTGTGGCTCCCTTACCTTCT